CAGGCAAAGGCTAGCAGTTGAAACCAAATAGAGGTCATCTGTTTGGTGCCACCAAGGTAATTCTGACTTAGTGACCCATGTGACAGTCAAAGTGCCCCATCGGGCCTCCTACGCTGTCATCTTGACAGAGCAGATCATTAGGGAAGTGATACAGGGGTGTGGGTTTCTGTCCTGTCCCCCAGTGGGCAGGGGAATTAGGTAGCTGGGAATTCCTAGAACTGAGGTTGAGGCAATGGTGCTGTAGTGGTAGAAATCTTGCCTTCCATGCAGGAGGCCTGGGTTCGATTCCTAGTCAATGCACTTCGTGTGCAACCAACACCATCCATCAGAGGATGGGTATTATGGATTGAATTGTGTCTTCCCAAAATATGTATGGTAAATCCTAACTCCTATACTCGATTACAATCCCCTTGGGAATGGGCTCTCTTGTGTTCACAAGGCAGCATTGGTGCTGGGGTCTTAGATCAAACTCTTTTGAGATATAAAAGAGCAGGTTGAGCTAGCAATCAGGCAGCAAGCAGATATGAGGGAAGACGGATGCCACACCACATGAAGGTCACCAAGGAACTGAGAAACAGAAGCTGAGAAGCGACACGGACCTTCCCCCCGGAGCCGACGGACAGACTTCTCCTAGAGCCGAGTCTTGAATGCAGACTTCTAGTCTCCTGAACTGTGAGAAAATAAGTATCTGCTTGGTGAAGCCACCCCCTTCTGGTATTTGCCATAGCAGCACTAGCTAACTGAGACAGTGTTTGTGTCTTGCCAGGATGCTGAACACGCTGTGCTTGGTCCATACCCAGTTCTAAACTGAGTCTCTGAAGTCTCATCTAGTTGGAGGCAATGCTCCTTATCCCACCACCATATAATACTCAGTGGACCACATGCTCACCCCCTGCTTTCTTGGAGGTGTGGTGAATGAAGGTCCTGAACATTGAAGGGGGTCCTTGTCCAAGAGGATAGGTGGGACAGGGGTCTGGCAGGGTCTCAGGCAAGACTTCTCTCTCCAGTTGCTGAGCTTGTGGTCTTAGGACAATGGTCATGGGGGACATCAAGCTCAATTGGCATATCACACTACACAAAAACATTGTTCTATATCTTTCTTTGTTGAGTAGCAAATGGGGTCTTAAAAGCTTGTGAGCAGCCACGTAGGATGTAACTATTGGTCTCTCCTTGGTCCGGAACAAAGAAGAGTGAATAAAATCAAAGACACATGGAAACAATTAGTCCAAGGGACTAGTGGACCATGGGAACCTCAGCCTGTGTGACTCTGAGATGAGAACTAGATGGCACCTGGCTACCACCGTCAACCACTTGGAAAGGGATAAAAATAAGAGATCCTGGATAGAGTGGGAGAAAAACATGGAATAAAACTCAATATCATAAAACAGGCAGGCTTACTGGTCTGATAGAGACTGGTGAAATCCCCAAGACTACGGCCCCTAGACTAAGCCCCTCCTTGGGGCCTGGAATTGAACTCACTCCCGTGGCTTCCAGCCAAATGACAGAGAGGCCTACAAGGTGAGCAATTACACCAGGTGCACCCCTTAGAACGATCAACCATGGGAGACCAGAAGGGCAGCGTTTGCACAGGGAGACAGCTCAGGGGGCAGGAATGCATAGGAAAGAAGGACACAGGGAAAAGGTAAGTACAGGGAGGAAATGGGAAGAGAGCTGTTACATTGTGGGGAATTGCAGTTGATGTCACAAAACAAAATATATATCAACTGTTAATTGGAAAACGAATTTGCTCTGTAAACTTTCATCCAAATCACAATAAAAAATAAAAAAAAGGAGAATTCTCTCTCCAGAGCTTGACAATATGAGTGATGGCAGGTAGACGCCAACTGGTGACCCTCCTTGGGTCGCAGGGGCAGGAACTCAGTGCACACTGTCCTCCAGAGCCTTCACTCCGGCAGGGGAGGCACAGGGAGGCCCTGGCTCCCACTGCTCTCATCGGCCTCCCCATTCTCCTTTCCTAGCAGCAGCGTCCACCGACTCTCACAGGGGAACCAGTTCCTTCGCAGGCATCCTCATCATCCCACATCAGTCTGAGACCAATGGCTCTCTAATGAGCCAACATTTCAGCCAAGCCGTGTGCTCTGTGCCCACACCTGTCACCCTCTGCGACGGCATCCACTCTGCCCTCAGTTGAACCAGGCAGCACAGTGATGTCTCGGGGGCATCCTTGTGAATCCTGGGCAGAGAAGTAAAGACGGTCCTGCGTGATCTTTAAGTGACAAGAAGAGTACTTACACTTGCTACGTGGAGACAAGTGAGGGTCAGTGGTTGTGGTAGGAAGCCTCCAAGATGGCGCCCAAGAATCCCCACCTTTGGCCATTCAAACTCTGGTGTGTGTCTCCCTGCGTACTACCAGGGTTGCTCTGGGTGGCCAATAGTATATGACAGAAGTGATGGTGTGTTACTTCCCACACTGGTTTACAAAAGACATGCAGCTTCCATCTGGGGTATCTGTCTTAAGTCACCTGCTCTGTGGAAGGCACTAGCCGTGTGGTGAGCAGCCCTGGAGAGGCCCTTGAGGGAGGAACTGAGACCTCTAGCCAATAGCCATCTAGCAACCTCTGAGGCCTCAGCCCATAGCTGCATAAGCAAGCCCTCTTAGAAGAAGACCTTCTGCTCTGGCCCACGTCTTTTTTTTTTTTTTTTTTTGTGATTTGGGTGGAGATTTACAGAGCAAATTCACTTTCCATACAGCAGTTCACATATGCTTTGTCTCATGTCATTGACCACAGTTTACCACAATGCAACAGCTCCCCTCTCACTTCCTCCCCATAGTTACCACTTCCCAGTGTCCATCCCTCCATACTCTCCTGCCCCCTGAGCTGTCTCCCTGTGCATAAGCAGCCCTTCCTTCTTCCATGATTGTTCTCTCCAGGGCGTGTGTCTACTTGAGGTAAATGTTTAACTCACATGCCTGTACCTTGTTTGGCTGGAAACCACAGGTGTGGGTTCAATTCCAGACCTGAAGGGCAGCTAGGGGCCATAGTCTTAGTGGTTCCACCAGGCTCTATTGGACCAGCAAACCTGGTCCCAACCATCTTTTTTTTTGTTTTGTTTTTCCCCTCCAAATGATTTTGAGTTTTGTTCCACATTGTTCTCCCTCTCTATCCAGGATCTCCTACATCCCTTCCAAGTGGATGACAGTGGTAGTCTGGCCCACGTCTTAATTGCAGCCTTACGTGGGACCCTGAGCCAGAACCACCCAGCTAAGCGGCTCATAGTTTCCTACCCATAGGAACAGTGAGATAATCAGTGTTCACTGTTTTAAGCACTCAAGTGTGTGGCCGTTTGTTAGGCAGCAGTGGTGAACTGAGACACTGGCCTAGCTAACGGGAAGCAAGGACAGCAACTTCCTCCTTTCTCCTTGAACATATCCTCCCCAGACAGTGTCTTTTCAGACTATGAGAAACCAGGGCCAGGTGTCCAAGGAGGACGATGTCTTTGTTAAGTATGGTCACACCCTTGGACTGCAGAAGCTGTCTGTGCTTCTGTGCACTGTGGAGTGGTGTAGGGTCGGCTGGGAGAGGCTGGGGGATATTCAAGAAGTGGGCAGGGATTGAGTCCAGCGGTCACCAGCAAGAGTGTATGCCCCACGCTGGCAACCCTGGGAGGGCAGAGACTGACAGCAGCTGGCTTCCTGGTTTGCTGGGAGACCCCAACTGCTGTAGGGGAGTCCCTGAGCATAGTCCCCACAGCAAGCACTTGTAGGGTGGGAAGACAGGCCTCGCTTTCTTAGGGTCCAAGACTGCTATGGAACAGTGGGGTCCACACACCGCCAGGCTCCCTGGGAGCCCTGGGAGGGAAAGCGTGTGGCTATCCTTCTTGATGGAAGAGTGGGCAGAGGCGCTACTGAGCGCCAGCCAGATGCCAGACCTGATGGCCTAGAAACCATGCTTGTGGTGTTGGACATCAGCAGAAAACCACGCAGCTGGGCTCCAGGTGAAGACAGGCACAATTTATTGGTTATACAGACTGATGCCCGTGGGAACACTGGCACACCGGTCTCCTACACACCCACACACCTGGGTTTGGTTTCCTACAGTAAGTCTGTTATGTTAAAAAAACAAACAAACAAGAAAACACATTGCCATGTAGTCTCTTAATAACCGAGGAAGCAGGACCAAAGGACGTGTCTGGGAAGAGAAGGCCACCTTGTCTCCAAAGCCTGGAACTGTGTGGCTCGCCCACCCTGGCAGCCAGGCTGGAGAACATGGCCTTTGGAAGCAACAACAGAGATAGATCCGTTCACATGAGGACAGCTGTGGAGGGGCTTGGACGAGTCTGTGCCCACTTCAAGGGCCTGGATCCCCAGCCCTGGGCCGAAGCCAGGTCTCTGCACAGGAGGACAGAAGTCGACCGCTTTTCTTCCTCCTTCCAGCTGGTGAACCGAGAAGCCAGGAAGGTGCCCGCTCTAGGCTTCTGCTGAGCTGGTACCACCACGGCTTCAGCCAAAGCCGTCTGCATCGCCGAGGCCATACTGGGCACAGTCCACTGGGCCCTAAGTGAGTCACCGAGATGCTTCAGCTCCCGAAAGGCTGGGCCCTTGTCTCACTCCTGAAGGGCAATGACCCGCTTAATGCTTTGTCCAAACCACTCTGGACAGATGCCTGATTTCAAACGGTGGGTTTGGAATTTTGGGTTCAGTTGATGAGGGAGACTCAATACTGAGGCTGGCCTGATATAACGTTCATAAAGCACTTAGCATGGTACTTGGCACACAGTGGGCGTGTGACACATGTGGGCATTATTATTATTAATAATAATATTATTATTATTAGATATCTGTACTCCAACCTTCAAATCTGCACTCTAGAGTCTTGTTTCAAAATGGCGACCTGAATGCTCTTGGGTTCCAAGTACCAAGGTCGAGCTGGAAGCCAGGGAGTGTGTTCTCTTCCAGCCTAGACCTCACACCATAATTCCCAGCCAGCGGATCCACGGGCCACACAGAAGCGAACCCTGCTCTGGACAACCAGGAAGGCTCATGAAGATGCATCGGGGGCAGCCGACAGGACGCTGGGCAGCCTGCTGCTCCCTGGGCTTCCTGTCTCGCTGGCGGCTCCTGGGGGCTTCACTGCAGGGACAAAAACAGACGGCTGTCAGGGCCTCATTCCCACCAGGCCACTTTAACCAGATTACCCAGGGTCCCCACCTGCTGTGGGTTCAGCCAGGCTTCCTCTGACATGCAGCTGCAAAGGGCTAGCAGGTACCTTACATGTGTACTGATACGTAAGTATAATAAATATAATAAAACAGTACTGATACAGACAGAATATGGGATGTACGCAAGTGAATGTATATATACAATACACCCCAATCCAAACCCAAAGCCACTGCCACCAAGCCAATTACAACTCCCTGCAAGCCCCACTGGGTTTCCAAGGTGGTAAATCTTTACAGAAGTAGATTGCCTCATCTTCCTTCCACTGAGCAGCTGGTGGGTTTGAACCACCAGCCTTCTGGTTAGCAGTCAAATGTCTTAGGCACTGCACCATCAGAGCTCCTTATATAATACACAGGCACACAAACATTAATTTAATTCTCCCTACACATTTGTGAGGCAGGTACCATTAACAGCATCTTTTTAAAGATGAGTAAACTGAGGCACAGGACCAGGAAGTGGGGGAGCTGGGGTTCAAACCAGCACATTCTGGCTCCAGAGTCCATCTTAACCCCTGTATTTTTACTCAAAAAGAAATTCATGTTCCAGGAAGAAAGGAGACACTGTGTTTTGAAGTCCTTAAAAGGCTGGAAAAATGGTAAGTCCTAAAACCAATGATAATAATCATGGAATATAAATTATATTGGCTTCACAGACTAACGGAGCCTTATTCCTTGGGGTTTGGCATGAGGCTAAGAGTTTATATGCAACCCTCCCTTCAGTCCTTTCAGAGAGCGGACGTCAGGGGCTGGCATGCCCGGGTTCCAATCCTGCCTCTATCCACCTCCTCATGGAGCAGCCCCTGACCTGCCCCAGGACCGCTGTTGCTTGAAACCCAGCCTGGGGACACACACACACACACACACACACACGCACACACACGTACATGTGTGTGCCCCCGTGCGCACCTGCATGGCGGTCCTGCTGAGTGGCCCCTCCTCAGGCCGGTGCTTGCTGTGGTATGGGAGCTCACTGTTGTCACGGTAGTCACGGCCCTTGGAGTGCTGCAGGTGCAGCACGGCCGGGCTCTTGGCGGGCAGGGGCGGCCGATGCTGTGTGGGCACGGATGGGGTCTGCTGGCTCATCTCTGAGCGGGACGGCTTCACGGGCCTCTTGGCCGGCACTGGCGCCTGGGAGCTGGCTGGCGGCTTGGGCTTCCCTTGGGTCTTTTCCCCACAGGCCGCCACTCTGCCCTCTGCAGCGGAGGAGGAGCAGGTGAAGGAGCGGAGCCGGGGTGCGGGGCTGAGGAAGGGCGTGAGGCCCTGCTTGCTAGTCCCCTTAGAGCTCTCCACCTCTTGGGCCTTGGTGAGCAAGATGGCGGGTGAGGAGACTCCGGGATCCGGGCAGGGTGGGGGCTCCTTCCTCAGCATCTTGGGGGATTCCTGCTCCTTCCTGGGAACCAGCTTAGGGAAGGAGCTCACAGACCCGTACAGCGGGTTCTCAAACATCTCCGGCTTCGTCAGCAGCAGGTCCTCCTGAAGTGAGGGTTCAGCCATGTTCTTCCCCAAGTCACCGGGCCTAGAGCCACAAGGAAGAGGACAGAAGACAGCATGGAAGAAACACACTTTAGAAGAGAAGATGTTATGCTGTGCAGCTGTTGATGTCTTCACAGGCAACCTCTGCTCTCGCCTGTGACCTTTTCCTCCATAAAAACTGCTGACACCACACTGAGCAAGGAAGACTCTACTGAAGGTTTTGTGGGACAAACAACCCAAGACTCATTGCTACTGAGTCCATTTTGACTCACAGCAACCCTGTTGGACAGAGCAGAATCGTCTCACAGGGTTTCCAAGGCTGTAAGCTTTACAGAAGCAGACTGTCACATCTTCCTTCCACAGAGTGGTTATTGGGTTCAAACCACTGACCTTTCAATTAGCAGTTAAGCACTTAACCACTGGGCCACCAGGGTTCCTCTGGGTAGAAATGGAAGAGGGTTTATGCTGCATGTCCAATAGCAATAGGAAATGCAAATTAAAACCACAGTGAGATACCACTTCACATCCACTAGGGTGACTATTATATATAAATATATATATATATATATAGAGAGAGAGAGAGAGAGAGAGAGAAAATATGGAAAATAACAAATGTTGGCAAGAATGTGGAACAACTGGAACTCTCATCCGTTGCTACTGGGAATGTAAAATGGTACAGCTTCTGTGGAAAAGAGCTTGCCAGTTCCTCAAACGTTAAACTAGAATTACCATATGATCCAACAATTCCACTCCTAGGTATATACTGAAAAGACTTGAAAACAGAACCTCAAAGACATACTTGGACATGCATGTTCATAGTAGCATTATTCACAATAGCCAAAAGGTTTTTTTTTTTTTTTTTTTTTTAAAAAAGCCCCTTCGTGAATGAATGGATAATCAGAATGTGGTCTATACATACAATGGTATATCAAAGAAATGAAGTCCTGGTGCACGTTACTACTTGGATGAACCTTGAAAACACTGTGCTGAGTGAACTAAGCCAGACACAAAAGGGCAAATATTGCAGAATCCCATTTCTCTGAAATACCTAGAAAAGGCAATAGCATCAAGACAGAAAGTAAATTAGAATAAACTGAAAGTGACTGCTTACTGGCACAGAATTTCTGTTTGAGGTGATGACAAAGTTTTGGAAATGGAAAATGGTGATGGTTGCAAACAACAAAACAACTGTACCTTTAGGATTAGTGCACTTTACTATTTGTAAAAGTTATACCACAAATAAAACACCTTTGAGGGCGCTGGAGTAAAACACACTCTCTCAAATCCTTCCCAGTTCTTTCTTCCCACACTGCTACCAACAAGCCTCCTTTCCTGATTTCCTCTCTCCCCCCACCAAGAGTCCTGTCTCCAGCAATTCCGCTCTCACCCTCATTTGCATGCCTGCTCAGTAGAACTCCTCACAAGTGAGTTCAGTGGCCAGTTGGGTTACTTGAAGTTCTCAGCTCAAGAGGCTTCATTTAAAAACATTTGTGAAGCCTGTTACATGTGGCCACCACCCGTCTGTAAGTATGTCATGCTGTGCTGCCTTGTACGTTGCTGTGCTTCTAAAAGCTATGTCACTGGTGTCTCAAATCCCAGCAGGGTCACCTAGAGAGGATAGGCTTCAGTGGCACTCCAGACAGAGACAACCTAAGAAGAAGCCCCTGGTGATGCACTTGTAAAAAAACTGGCCGGTGCAAACCTTATGGTCAGCAGGGAACACTGTCTGATGCAGTGCTGGGAGAGGGGCCCTCTGGCCCCTCAGGTCGGAAGGCACGCAAAACAGGACTTGGGAAGAGCTGCCTCCTCAGAGGAGAGTTGATCTCAATGATATGGATGAAGTAAAGCTTTCAGGACCCTCATTTCTGATGTAGCACCACTCAGAGAAGAAACAGTGGCAATCATCCATTAATAACCAGAATGTGGACTGTACAAAGTATGATTCTAGAAAAACTGGAAGTTGTATAAAGTGAAATGAAACACTTGACGGTAGATACACTAGGATAATAGATAGATACCCTAGTGAGTTGAAATGGCCACTTTTAATTGGACAATCATATGGTCTACTATGCCAGGAATGACAAATTGAAGAGGAACAATGTTGTACTCATAGTCCAAAAGAACAGTTCAAGATCTATCCTAAAGTACAACACCGTCAATGAGAGGATAATATCCATATGCCTAAAGGAAGTTAATACGACTTTTACTCAAATTTATGCACCAGCCACTAATACAAAAGATGAAGAAACTGAAGATTTCTTCTGACTTCTGCAGGCTGAAAATGATCAAATAAGCAATCAAGATGATTGATCATTACTGGCGATTGGAATGCAAAAGTTGGGATAAAAAAAGAAGCGTTGATAGTTGGAAAATATGGCCTTGGTGGTAGAAATGACAGAGCTGGCATGATAGAACTTGACAAGATTAACAGCTTATTCATTGGAAATATTTTATCTTAACAATGTAAACAGTGATTACACATGTGGACTTTGCCAGATGGAACACACAGGAATCAAATTGACTACATCTGTGGAAAGAGATGATAGAGAAGCTGAACATCATCAATCAGAACAAGGCAGAGGCTGCCTGCAGAACAGACCATCATTTGCTCATATGCAAGTTCAAGTAGAAGGTGAAGAAAATTAAAACAAGTCCACAGGGGACCTTGACTATATTCCATCTGAATTTAGAGACCATCTCAAGAACAGATTTGACATGCTTAACACCAATGACTGATTACCAGATTGAGTTGTGGGTTGACATCAAGAACATCATATGTAAAGAAAGCAAGAAGTCATTAAAAAGACAGGAAAGACCAACATGGACATCAGAAGAGACTCCAAAACTTGTCCTTCAATGTAAAGTGAACAGAAAAAATGGTGAAGTAAAAGAGCTGAACAGAAGATTTCAAAGGGCAGCTTGAGAAGACAGAGTAAAGTATTATCATGAAATTTGCAAAGACCTGGAGTTAGAAAACCAAAAGGGAAGAACACACTTGGCATTTCTCAAACTGAAAGAACTGAGGAAAAAATTCAAGCTTGAGTTACAATATTGAAAAATTCTATGGGCAAAATATTGAATGACATAGGAAGTACCAAAAGAAGATGGAAGGAACACACAGAGTCACTGCACCAAAAAGCATTGGTTGATGTTCAGCCATTGGAGGAGGTAGCATATGATCATGAACTGATGGTATGGAAGGAAGAAGTCCAAGCTGCACTGAAGGCATTGGTGAAAAACAAGGCTCCAGGAATTGACGGAACACCGATTGGGATGTTTCAATAGACACAAGGGTAGAGGCATTCACTCATCTATGCCAAGAAATTTGGAAAGCTACTTGGCCAACCGACTAGAAGATATTCACATTTGTGCCCATTCCAAAGAGAGGTGATCCAACATAATGTGGACATTTTTGACAATATCATTAATAGGATGGCCATGGAAGCATGGGAGGCAAGCACAAATTGGCTGAGGAAAATTCCAAAATGGCTGCAGCAGCACATCCACAGGGAACTGTCAGAAAATCTAGTCGAATTCGGAAAAGGACGTGGAATGAGGGATATCATTGCTGATATCAGATTGATCTTGGCTGAAGACAGAACACAAGAGAGATGTTTACCTGTTTTTTATTGACTGTGCAAAGGTATTTTGACTGTGTGGATCTTACAAATTATGCCTAACATTACAAAGAATGAGAATTCTAGAACACTTTATTGTGCTCATGCAGAACCTGTACACAGACCAAGAAACACTGTTCAAACAGAACAAGGGGATACTGCCTGGCTTAAAATCAAGAGAGGTGGACATACTTATGCAGTCTATATGCTGATGACCAAATAATCCAAGAAGTTGGACAATATGAAGAAGAACTCGGCATCAGGATTGGAGGAAGACTCAATAACCTGTAATGTACAGACAATACAACCTTGCTTGCTGAAAGTGAAATGGACTTGAAGCCCTTACTGATGAAGATCAAAGACTATACTATCTAGTATGGATTACACCTCAATCTAAAGAAAACCAAAATCCTCACAATTAGACCAATAAGCAACATCATGATAAACACAGAAAAGATAGAAGTTGTCAAGGATCTCATTTTACTTGGATTCCCAATCAATGCCCATGGAAATAGTAGCCAAGAAATCAAACAATGTATTGCATTGGGCAAACATGCTGCAAACAAACAAACAAACAACAGCAGCAACAACAACAACAACAAAAACACCTCTTGAAAGTGTTAAAAAGCAGAAAGGGAAATCAAAGGCATTCAAATTGGTAAGGAAGAAGTCAAACTATCTCTGTTTGCTGATGATATGATCCTATACCTAGAAAATCCAAGAGATTCCATCAAAAATCTAATGGAACTAATTGAGAGATTTAGCATAGTGATAAGATACAAGATCAAAAATCAGTTGGATTCCTCTACACCAGCAAAGGGATTGCTGAAAAAGAAATAAAGAAATCAATACATTTACAATAGCTACCAAAAAAATAAAATACTTGGGAATAAATCTTACCAGGGACACAAAAAACCTGTATGAAGAAAACTATAAAAGACTACTTTGAGAAACCATAAGAGATCTACATAAATGGAAGAACACACCATGGCTTGTGGATAGGAAGATTGAACATTGTGAAAATGTCAATTCTACCCAAAGCAATGTACACATTCAGTGTAATCACAATCCAGATCCCATTAACCATCTTTAAGGATATGGAAAAACCAATCACTTACTTAATATGGAAAGGAAAGAGACCTTGGATAAGCAAAGCATTATTGAAGAAGACGAACAAAGTAGGAGGTCTCACACTCCCTGCCTGGTATTGGTACAACAACAGACACATAGACCAATGAAATAGAATTGAGAACCCAGAAATAGATCCATCGACCTATGGTCAGCTGATCTTTGACAAAGAGTTGAAATCCATTGAATGGGGAAGAGATTGTCTGTCTAATAAATGGTGCTGGCAAAACTGGAGATCCATTTGCAGAAAAATGAAACAAGATCTGTACTTCACATCATACACAAAAACTAACTCCAG